TTTCCCTCCCTAAGGTTGATCAATTGGTCGACGCCACGGCGAGACGCACATGCATGAGCTTCATAAACGCTAGGGCTAGTTACCATCAGATCTGCCTTCATCTGCCTGACCAGGGATAAACTCCCTTCATCACTCTAAGGGGGGTCTATTGTGACAAGGTCATGTCAGTCGATCTAAAGAATGCAGGCACTATATACCAAAGACTCATGAACTAGATGTTTAACTCGAAAGCACCATGAAGGTGTACATTGATGACATGTTAGTCAAGAGCAAGAGACGGGATGGCTATGTCGCGGACTTGGAGGATGCCTTCTCCACTCTCTGCATGGACGGATCCTGCAACAGTAAGGGTTCCAGAATTGGGGTATTATTAGTCTCCCCGAAAGGGCTTGTCACGGAGCAAGCCATACGACTGGGCTTCAAGGCATTCAACAATGAGGCAGAATATATAGCTCTTATCTCGGGACTCAAACTTGCCAATGCAGCAGGGGCCGCGAAGTTAACAGTCCATTGTGATTCCTTACTAATGGTCAACCAGATCAATGGGGATACGGCTAAATGTGCCTTTGGAGTTGGCTTTGAAAAGTTCCTTGGGTACTTAGTAAGCCGGTGGGGCATCCAGGCCAACCCATAGCAGATACAGGCTATCATGAACGTACGAAACCCTCGGACTGTCTGAGATATCTAGAAACTCATCAGAATGTTAGCTGTCCTAAATCGTTTTATATATTGGTCGTCGGACATGTGCAAGCCTTTCTATAGGGCAATCAAGAGGTGTGAGAAAGGTACTTGGAATGAAGAATGCGAGGAGATGCTTAAAGGGATCGAGGAGTACCTCAGGGTCCTCCCGAACCAATCCATCCTAGAGAGGGGGGAGATGTTGTTCCTCTACTTGGCCATTTTGAAGTTTGCCATGAGCGGCGTATTGATCCACGAGCATTAACAAGGAACCAAAGCTAGTGTATTTTATGAGCAAGGCTCTATTGGACGTAGAGAAAAGGTACTTGCCTTTGGAAAAGCTTGCATTGGCGCTGGTTACGGTTGTAAGGAAGTTGAGGCATTACTTCCAAGCATACCCAATCACCGTCCGAACGAATCAACCTTTGAAGGTGATCCTAAGGAAGGCAGACCTCTTTGGGAGGATAGCAAAGTGGGCCGTGGAGTTGAGGGAGCATGACATTCACTACAGACCTCGCACAATAATAAAGGTCAGGTACTAGCAGACTTCATAGCTAAATTTACCAAGGGGACAACCAAGTGCACTCCTTAAAGATCTTGGCGATCTAGACCCCCTGGGTGGACAGTGTCTTGTCTCGAGTAGCCACGTCCTCCTTCACCTAGGCCAGAGCTCCTTGGGCTTTCTCCAGCTCGACTTGGAGTCTCTCGCACTCCTGGAGTTGGTGTCAATGAGTATGGAAGCACTCAACAATGACAGAAATCTATTGGGCCATCAGAAAGATAAAAGAAGGGATCACGTTGATAGAAGGCTAAAGCAAAGAGAAGGAAAATTTCACAAGTATGAGGGCCTTACCACCAGCGAATTCTGGATGATAAAGCGGAAGAGGTTGTTGCTCCCACGAATCCAGTGGAAGGACATGTCAGCATCAAAAAGGATTACCTCGCTCACAACGTAGGCGGTGGGAGGAGAGGCAATGATGGAGTTAGTAACCCTGATCGGCCATTGTCACAATCTTGGGCTCTACCGCGCCATTCTGGGGCATTGGGTGTCAGCGTTGGTGTATGTGTCAATGTTGGCTCTGATGTGGGAGTTAGTGTTGGAACAGGAGTGCCTCTTCCTCGACCACCCTCATGCCTTTGTTTCACTATCCTTTTTTCCTACTGAGGATCCCTTCCATGACCTCAGCCTTTCCCAGTTGGTGTCGACACATCAGGAACGTCAGTTGGAGGATGAGTGGGGAAGGGTGTGGACCCCTCAATTTGTTAGAGGGACGAGTACAACCCAAGTTAGGGGTGACATTAGAACCTAACTCATGACCCCGTCCGGTAGCGAGGGTAGCTCTTTCTCTGATCAAGCCGATAGAGATGCGAGGTGGGTTTGACATGGCTAGTTCTAAGGCGTCTTCTTAATCTAAGTTTTGGAAAATATCGAAGTTTGGCTAAGCCTCCCCGCCTGAAGTACTTGCATCAGCGTGGATAGTCGTTGATGGATCCCTTATCTGTTCGACCTCGATAGATGTGTCTTCAGTAGCTTCTACCTCGGCTTTAGTGGCTCTGTTGGGATCCTCTTCCAAATTTTCCCTAGATAACGTCAACCACCTAGCTGGGTCAAATGGTTTAGTAGTTTGGGAGAACTTCCTATACCTCAGGGTATAGTCTAGCAAAACGTGCGCGGCTCAACCAAATTCGTTGCCCAAGTCCCCCCAGACAATTATGATGTCGACGAGGTTGACGAGGTTCTGATGGGTAGAAGCAAACATGGCATCAGAAACTCCTGCAAAGAACAAACAATTTAATGATTAGAAGACAAGAAATGAGTCATCGAGATGATGAAAGTCAAGAAGAGATAGAAACCGATGTACTCGTTGTCCACCACTTCTTGGGGCACCACAAACTATCGTACTCGGGGTCGACTCATCTTTCCTATTTACCATTGAAGACCAGCAAGTCATCTTTGTACCCTTTGTCTGAGTCAGGGAAGTGTGTCACGAGGTACATAGAGGGATCTCAGTCCTTGAGTTAGAACCTCTACTGAGGTATCACCCTCAACAAAGTATAGTAGAAAAGAATGTCCCCCAAGTCGAGGTTGACTTGAAGGCGCTCGTTCAGGGCCACCATTCCCATGATGATTCTGAAAGTGTTTAGGCAACACTACCTTGGGAAGAGGCAAAATTGGGACAGAAAACGAAGGAGGATAGGGTGGAGGGGGAATCTGATGCCACCCTCCATGATGGCCTTAGTGTAGAAAGGCATGGCCGCCTCGGTGCCAGCGTTGGTGTTGTGAAGTCCAGCAATGCTCATTCACAGTGACCCCAGTAGGGATGGAGTATAGAGTCATAAAGTTAGTGATCTACTAACAGCTTTTGACTGTATATTTCCTCGACCTCGAGGGACCAGCCTCTTTGGCCTCAACGTTAGTATGCCGACAATGCCTCGGCATGGTTTTAACTGGAAGAACGGCTCAAAATGGATGTTTCCTAGATATGGGAGAACTAAGGGTCACTATTGGGGACGAAGGGGAGAAAAATGAAGATAGAAGGACGGTGTGATGCTACTAGGACAAGAATGAAATGGAACAGAGGGAGTGTGGTCACCAAAAAAGAGAAGAAAAAAGGGAAAACAGTTACTCACTGAATGAGAACGACTCTGATATAGAAGAGAGGTTGGGAATTGGTAGCTTTTCAGACGAGAAATGGCGTCTCCGATGGAACTCTGACAAGTCTTTGGTTAGGCTAAGATTGCAAAAGTGGCAGAAAGGGGCGAGGGCTCTGTTTTTATAAGAGAGCAAGCCCCATCATTGTGCACAAGGTACGAAGGGGGCGCATTAAATGGGGCATGATCCCCAAGGAACAAAAAATGGCTATGGAGAGAAAGAAGAGGCAAGCCCTTTCATCTTCTCACTCTACGTCACCCACACGCCGTATGAAGATCAAGGGCTGGGGGCAATTGATGGGACATTTTTGAGGATCAGCAAAGAGTTGACACGTCTCATAGGAGTCATAAAAGGATGTAGTAGAGTTCTTGAAGGATGCATAGTAGTCTCACTTCTAGTAAATTTGAACAAATCAGGATTTTCTGAAAATCCAAGCAACTAGGGAAAAAAATGCAAGTTTCATATAACCAAAATGGAGTTGAGACGTCCACATTATCAGAAATCTGATTGCGATTAACTGCACATAGTACATGAGTTTTTGTCCACAATGAGAATACCACCGAGAAGGCATACAAGCAATTCCCCAAACCAAATAAACTTGCCCATACCAACCCTCTATCTGGGACTCAAATTCAACATGGAGTGATGGGCCTTTAACATCAACGACACGCCCCTTGTAGCCCTTGAACTAGCCCAGACGAACGATAATGACAGCACCAACTAAAGCATCATAATCCCTTCTTCCTCTATGTCTTCCTCTAGCTATGACATGATATGAAAACATTTTTAATAAACTCCTTTTGAATAAATGTAACAAAAACGTAATTATAAAGATTATAGAGAAAGATTTAATCTTATTGAAAAACTAATTGAAGATTTTGTCACATATAAGATTCAGTACAAAGAGTTGAGAAAGATTTAATCTTATTGAAAAAATGATTGAAGATTTTGTCATACATAAGAATTAGTACAAAGAGTGTCAACTGCATAATCAAAAGGGCCTTTCTATACAGCAACATACAATTTATAGGTGGGCCTCCTCTTGGCAATCTCATTCAAGATTGGGGAACTTGAGGTGGAGTTTTGAGTTGGGCAAATCTTAAAGCCAATGAATCACCTTGCAGAAGAGGTGATGTGAATGCAAGGATCAGATATTTAATGGTAAGATTTTCACAAATTATTAATAAAAAAGAATGGTTAAGATGCCTACATTTCTCTCAGCATTTGCACGTGATCCACCTACCACCACACAGGATTGGGATTTCACACAAACAAAGCCAGTATGCTCGAGGTGATGACAATCATGGATAAACAAAATTCCTCTATAGATACGTTCAACAGGACCTTGTTTTCCCTATGTCTGACAGTAATAGTACGACCTCAATAATCAAAAACAAAAATGATACAAGATAAGAAAAAACAAATAGAAAATGAGAATCTGACTTTGCATCGACCCTCAAGAATTTTGACATCATCTTTTGCTAATATTGTGCTTTTTGATCGATCTTTTGCGTACATCTTTTTCTCAATCTTGTATTTGATCTCTCTTAATTTGACAAGTGCAACTTCTGGTCTATCTGGGACTCCCTTGAGAACCTGAGATGTGATCCACTAAATTCAGTATGGCATTCACCACAATTAGTTTGGTCATTCAAATTACACTAGTTACCTAGAAAGCTTCACTCTGTATACATATGACTACTCCAAAGCTCAAATTACTGCAAAAAAAACAAAACTAGATAACTACAACTAAAATGAAAGAAAGGAAAAAATAATGCCTAAACAAAACGAAAGCTTACTCCAGAAGCACAACATCATGAATCTCATAGTCTCCAATCCTAGTTATACCAGATGTGACCTCAGAGATCTTGACAACATTGTTGGCAATAACACAAAGTTGAAGGCGGAATATAATGTAGTTATCACTTAAATGGTTTATCAACAAAAATGTTTCAAATTTCAAAAATCATATTAGAAGTGCATCACTTACAATTTCCTTAGTTGCATCAGACAGTATATTCACCCTGTGCCCCTCAACAGAAACCACCATGACCGTTGCACCTTCTATTGCACCAGATACAACCTTGACATGATTTCTAGGTTCAAAGTGCTTGCAAAGCTCTTCGTCAGTGATAACAACAGTGCTCTACCTATTAAATGGACAAAATGATTTTCACAAGATTAATAGGCAAGCAAATAATAGGACATAAACATATACATTTGGCAATGGTAAAAATATTCAGTTTGTGTTTTAACGGAATTCCCATCTCATTTGGTTTGATATGGACAGTATCTTCCTCAACTTTTTTGACACATCCCTTCAAATTCTTAAGATCGCCCTTCAGAATAAGAACTCGATTGCCCTTCATAAAATGTGCTTTCTTTCGGTTTGTAAATAGAGTCGACAAACTAGCCATATCGTCATCTCCATTTTCACCAGGTTGCCAAAAATTTTCAAGTTCATCGAGACTTGGTTGATTGTTCTGTATACTGATTGATTTCATGGATACTGTTTTATATAAGAAACCATCTTTGAACATCATGCCTTCTATATTCTCAAAGTAATCACCAGTCTTTTGATTTTGTCTACGTTTTACATGAATATGTATTTCTTTGGACATAGGGCATATGTTAATGAATATACATTAACAAAACATAGACATTGTGCAATTAATGGCAAATAATGGGTCATAGAAATACAGAAAACACAGTTACCTAGCTTCCGCAATGTTCATAAAACGTGGTGGAGTAATTGCCTTTTTCTTTGGAGCTTCTCTACCTTCTTGAATCAAAGTAACTTGTTGTGTAACTGCTAGGACATATTAACAACTAACTATTGCACTAAATATGAAATTGAGAACCATATCACTTTCAAACACCAATCATACATGAATATATTTGTTTGTGATAACAATTGAAAGCATCTTCATATAAAATGAGAACACCAAATCCAGCCTAAAGTATGACAGGTATGGTTACAACTTACAATTCTTTAATAGCAGGCATCGATCAAGAAATATCAAGCACATACCAATTTATTTTCCTGTGCCTGTAAGTCAATCCTGGGAATTAATTTTAGTGTAACTCTCTAATTGACATTATCCACATTGACAACCTATAAAGCACAATGTTAGACGAAGATGAGCAAGGCCACAAAAGAACATTATAAGGACAAAAAAAGGAGAAAAACTAGAAAGGCAGAAACTCAGTACCTTGGCAAGGTCCCCTTTATATGTCCCAGTCTTCATTTTTACCCAAGCATCATTGGAATGATCAACTGTTTTGCTTTCTATTGAAAGTACATCAGTCATTTCTTTGATGGGGACAAGTATTATTTTAGCGGAATCAAAAATGTGCATGCCCTTGATGGCCTAAAGCAGGACAAATAAAAATGAGTCAGATTTCATAGATTGCAACATGAGTTACTGAAGAACTCTATCTCACATATTTCAGATTTTACAATGCATCAATTACTTACCTCTCTCACATGGGCCAGCTTGTCTGCTTCAATATATATATATATATATAGATATCAAGGGCTATAGCTGATCGAATTCTCAACTCAGATCCTTTATCTATGTACTTCTGCCTTAGGCAAAATGCTGCCTTCCTCTAACGATGTTTCTAGCAGACATGAATATAGAATCAATCAACATATAATGCTGAAATCAAATGGGCATTATGAGTAAGGAATCACAGAGGCATTATCATCATACCTTGCATTTCACCATCCACAATTTTGTATCCCCTACGAATGGCAAAAGAGCTTACTATTCAAGAGCTATTGTATCCTCATCGTATTATGCATGACTTGATCTTGCATACCTAGCTTGTATGTTTCTCTCAAGAGCTTCAACATTTTCCTGGTCATCCTCACGTGGCAGCAGCGAGCGATGCATCCTTCTTCCATCCTCTTCATCTTTTAGGTCAGCTCCTCTCTCTACTATGAAGTCTACATGGTCAGGCTCCCAATCCATCAGAATAACAGAAAATGAAGACCAGGTGTTAACCAGCACAATGAAATATAATTTAGGTAGAGTGTTGTAGTTGTCAAACAAGAATAGGACGTGAAAAAAGTTTCACAACTACAAAAACCTCAATGTCATTTAGAAATTCAGAACATAGCTGATGAGAGAAATCACAGGTGGTCCCAAATGCTAATTGAGCAACTAAGGTGTTGAAAAAATAATAATAAACATGATTTTTTATGTTTTAGGAGTTATTTTTTTGCATTTATTTTTTTGTATTAGTGAGTCATCAATTTGGTATTAGTGGAGGTTAAAGTAATTGTGATATTTTAATTCTCCAAGTAATGGAAGAGTGAGATCTTTATTATTTTTATTATTGCATTATGTAGTAGGGTTATTTTGTATGTCATGTGTTATATATGAGAATCTATATATATCTTATGTAATACATCCATTTAGATATGAGTGAATAGAAATAGTTCTTCCTATCTTCTATAGTCTCTTCATTGTATTTTTGTGAGTGTGTGATAGTTCTCTAGATTCTAACAAGTGGTATCAGAGCTAGGCTTGAGTTTCCAATAAAAAGAGAATGAGAGAGATGTCGAATGGAATACTTCCATTTCAAATATCTCAATTCACCAAAAATAACTATGAAAATTAGTGTAGCTGAAGGCGGTTCTTGAATCTCAAAACTTATGGGAGATTGTAACAATTGGTTACACGACACTGCAAGAGGNGATCCTTTATCTATGTACTTCTGCCTTAGGCAAAATGCTGCCTTCCTCTAACGATGTTTCTAGCAGACATGAATATAGAATCAATCAACATATAATGCTGAAATCAAATGGGCATTATGAGTAAGGAATCACAGAGGCATTATCATCATACCTTGCATTTCACCATCCACAATTTTGTATCCCCTACGAATGGCAAAAGAGCTTACTATTCAAGAGCTATTGTATCCTCATCGTATTATGCATGACTTGATCTTGCATACCTAGCTTGTATGTTTCTCTCAAGAGCTTCAACATTTTCCTGGTCATCCTCACGTGGCAGCAGCGAGCGATGCATCCTTCTTCCATCCTCTTCATCTTTTAGGTCAGCTCCTCTCTCTACTATGAAGTCTACATGGTCAGGCTCCCAATCCATCAGAATAACAGAAAATGAAGACCAGGTGTTAACCAGCACAATGAAATATAATTTAGGTAGAGTGTTGTAGTTGTCAAACAAGAATAGGACGTGAAAAAAGTTTCACAACTACAAAAACCTCAATGTCATTTAGAAATTCAGAACATAGCTGATGAGAGAAATCACAGGTGGTCCCAAATGCTAATTGAGCAACTAAGGTGTTGAAAAAATAATAATAAACATGATTTTTTATGTTTTAGGAGTTATTTTTTTGCATTTATTTTTTTGTATTAGTGAGTCATCAATTTGGTATTAGTGGAGGTTAAAGTAATTGTGATATTTTAATTCTCCAAGTAATGGAAGAGTGAGATCTTTATTATTTTTATTATTGCATTATGTAGTAGGGTTATTTTGTATGTCATGTGTTATATATGAGAATCTATATATATCTTATGTAATACATCCATTTAGATATGAGTGAATAGAAATAGTTCTTCCTATCTTCTATAGTCTCTTCATTGTATTTTTGTGAGTGTGTGATAGTTCTCTAGATTCTAACAAGTGGTATCAGAGCTAGGCTTGAGTTTCCAATAAAAAGAGAATGAGAGAGATGTCGAATGGAATACTTCCATTTCAAATATCTCAATTCACCAAAAATAACTATGAAAATTAGTGTAGCTGAAGGCGGTTCTTGAATCTCAAAACTTATGGGAGATTGTAACAATTGGTTACACGACACTGCAAGAGGAAGCTTCCTTAAGTCAAGCCCAAAAAGATGTCTTACAAGCTACAAAAAAGAATGATCAAAGGACTCTTTCACTCATCCATCAATGCTCGAATGAAGTCATGTTACAAAAGGTTGCTAGTGCAACCACATCCAAGCAAATATTGGATATTCTTGAAACCACTCATAACGGAGTGAAAAAAGTCAAGAAATTTCACCTCCAAACTCTATGAGATGAATTTGAGGCTTTACATATGAAGGAATATGAATTAGTTTTAGATTATTTCAAAAGAATCTTGGTGGTTGTGAATAATTTGAGAACGTATGGTGATGATCACTATGATGATACCCAGGTAATAGAAAAAATTCTTCATTCATTGGACCCCAAGTTTGATTATATTGCCATAGCCATTGAAGAGTCTAAAGATTTAGACACAATAATGTTTGACAAACTCATGGAATCGTTGTTAGTCCATGACGAACGACTAGACAAGAAGAAACAATAGTTTTTGGAGCAAATGTTACAGACCAAGCTTTCTTTCAAAGAAAAACAAAGAAGGCAAGATAGAAGTCAAAGAAGTAGAGGGCATAGACGTGGACGTGGAGGTCGTGGTGGAGGTAGAGGAGAAAATTTTGGTCAAAATTCATCCAATAAAGAAGATAGAGACCAAGAATCACACTATGGAGGATGCAATAATTCAAAGTCATATGGAGGGAGATATGAAAAATCTCATATTCAATGTTATAATTGTCATCGATATGGCTATTTTGCTTCCGAGTGTAGAAATAATTTTATGGAAGAAATATTACACTTTGCTGAAGACAAAGCTGAAGAGGTAGAGCCGACCTTATTGTTAGCATACAAAAAAGAACAAAAGGGAGAAACGACCATGCGGTACTTTGACTCCGGTGCTAGTAATCATATGTGTGGAAACAAAGAGATATTTGTAGTGCTTGATGAATCGGTGAGTGAAAAAGTTACTTTTGGAGATTCTTCTCAAATTTCGGTAATGGGAAGAGGTAATATTTTAATTCGTATGAAAGATGGAAGGCACCAAATTAAATTTAATATTTTTTGTATCAAACATGAAAAATAATATTTTGAACTTGGAACAACTGTTAGAGAATGGTTATGATATTTGCATAAAAAATCATAATCTTTCAATAAGATATGGAAATAGAAATTTAGTTGTTAAAGTGCTGATGACAAGAAATAGAATATTTTTGTCAAATATTTAAAGTGATGTGGCAAAATGCTTGAAAGCATGTTTTAAAGATTCTTCTTGATTATGACACTTGAGTTTTGGACACTTGAATTTTGGAGAACTAACTTTGTTGCCTAGAAAGAAGATGGTAAAAGAATTGTCTTCTATTAACCACCCAGATTAATTTTGTGAGGGATGTCTCATTGGAAAGTAAGCTAGAAAGAGCTTTTCCAAAGAATCCATTTCAAGAGCAATCAAACCACTTCAACTTGTTCGTTTGGATGTTTTCCGCCCTATAGACCCACCATCGTTTGGTAAGAATCGGTATTTTATTCTCTTTATTAATGATTTTAACAAGAAAACGTGGGTTTATTTTTTAAAACAAAATCAGAGGTGTTTGGTGTTTTCAAAAAGTTTAAGACTTTGATTGCAAAACAAAGTGGGTATGAAGTTAAAACAATTAGATCCGATAAAGGATGTGAATTCATTTCAAATGAATTCAAATATTTTTGTGAAGAAAATAGAATTTACCATCGTCTAACTGTTCCAATATCACCACAACAAAATTGTGTTGCCGAGAGGTAAAACCGAACCATTATGGATATGGTTCGGAGTATGTTGAAGAGCAAGAAAATGCCCAAGGAGTTTTGGGCTGAAGCTATTGATTGTGCCATCCACCTGTTAAATAAGTCTCCTACTAGAAGTGTTCAAGACGAAACACCACAAGAAACATGGGGAGGAATCAAGCTAAATGTTTCTCATTTGATAGGTTTTTGGAAGTGCATGCTATGGACATGTGCTAGATGAGAAATGGACAAAACTAGATGACATGAGCGAAAAGTTTGTCTTCATTGGCTATGATTCAAGAAACAAAGGTTACAAGTTTCAGAACCCAAGTAATGACAAGATAATTATTAGTAGAGACATTGAGTTTGATGAAGAAGATGAATGGAATTAGAACATCCCATAAGAATATTATGATTTTTCCTATTCTTTGAAGAAAATGAGGTGCCCAATGAGATCATGGGGGGGGGGGGGGGGGGGNGGGGGGGGGGGGGGGGGGGGGGGGGGGGGGGGGGGGGGGGGGGGGGGGGGGGGGGGGGGGGGGGGGGGGGGGGGGGGGGGGGGGGGGGGGGGGGGGGGGGGGGGGGGGGGGGGGGGGGGGGGGGGGGGGGGGGGGGGGGGGGGGGGGGGGGGGGGGGGGGGGGGGGGGGGGGGGGGGGGGGGGGGGGGGGGGGGGGGGGGGGGGGGGGGGGGGGGGGGGGGGGGGGGGGGGGGGGGGGGGGGGGGGGGGGGGGGGGGGGGGGGGGGGGGGGGGGGGGGGGGGGGGGGGGGGGGGGGGGGGGGGGGGGGGGGGGGGGGGGGGGGGGGGGGGGGGGGGGGGGGGGGGGGGGGGGGGGGGGGGGGGGGGGGGGGGGGGGGGGGGGGGGGGGGGGGGGGGGGGGGGGGGGGGGGGGGGGGGGGGGGGGGGGGGGGGGGGGGGGGGGGGGGGGGGGGGGGGGGGGGGGGGGGGGGGGGGGGGGGGGGGGGGGGGGGGGGGGGGGGGGGGGGGGGGGGGGGGGGGGGGGGGGGGGAGGGGGGGGGGGGGGGGGGGGGGGGGGGGCTCATTTATTCTCCTCCAACATCACCCACCAATGTGCAAGCATATCCATCATCATCCAAAGTAAGTTCAAGTGAAAGGCCACCTAGCATGAGGAGTCTTCGAGATATCTATGAAAAAATCGAAGAGGTAATTCAAAGATTTAGTGATCTAACACTCTTTTGCCTATTTGCCGATTGTGATCCCATAGGCTATTAGAAAGCGGAACAAGGTAACAAGTGCAGAAATGCCATGAATGAAGAAATTGAAGCTATTGAAAGGAATGGAATACGGGAACTTGCCACACTTACTAGAGGAAAAAAGGTCATTGGATTAAAATAAGTGTATAAGAAAAAGAAAAATACCGAAGGTGAAGTGGAAAGGTACAAAGCAAGATTGGTTGCAAAAAGCTATAGTCATAGACTGGGTATTAACTGTGATGATGTATTTGCACCCGTTACTCTTTTGAAAATAATTAGATTGATTATTTCTTTACCCCCTCTAAATGATTGAAAAATTCACCAAATGGATGTGAAGTTCTCTTTTTTTTAATGGTTTTCTTGATGAAGAGGTGTATGTTGAACAACTCTTAGATTATGTTGTGAAAGGGTAAGGAGAGAAAGTCTTGAAATTAAAGAAGGTTTTGTATCGCTTGAAGCAAGCACCAAGGGATTGGAATAATAAACTTGACAAGTAATTTCAAACAAATAGTTTCACCACGTGTCCCAATGAACATGCTCTTTATGCAAAGGTTAATGATAATGGTAATATACTCTATGCTTGTTTGTACGTGGACGACTTGATCTTTACAAGAAATTGTCCAAATATGTTTGAAGATTTCAAGAGAGCAATAGCTAAAGAATTTTAGATGACTAACATTGGGCTTATGTCATACTACTTTGACATTGAAGTGAAGCAAATGAAGGAATGTATTTTCATCTCCCAAGAAGGTTATGCTAAAGCAATTTTGTTAAAATTCAAGATGCAAGATTGTAAGCCTGTATGCACACTTGTTGAATATGGTGTAAAATTGTCAAATTATGAGATAAAAAACCTGTGGATTCCACACATTTCAAGAGTTTAGTTGGAAGCTTGAGATACTTAACATGCACAAGACCAGATATTCTTTTTGGTGTTGGTCTTGTAAGTCGCTACATGGAAGCTCCTACCATGATCCATTTAAAGGTGGCGAAAAGAATTCTTAGATACATCAAAGGTACATTTGATTATAGATTGCTATATTCTTGTTCTAACAATTCCAAGCTTGCGAGCTATTGTGTTAATGATTGGGCTGAAGACATGGATGATAGAAAAAGTACTACCGAGTATGTTTTCTTCATGGGAGATACTGCATTTACTTGGAGTTCAAAGAACCAATCTATTGTAACTCTTTTGACTTGTGAAGTCGAGTATGTGGCAGCTACATCATGTGTTTGTCAAGCCATTTGGCTTAGAAATTTGTTGAAGGAGCTTCATTTGCCTCAAGAAGACTCAACGAAGATCTTCATTGACA